CAAGGTGAAGGCAGACACTTAACCGACTGAGCCACCCAGGCGCCCCTAATGAAGATTAATTTTTAAAAGGTAACTTTTTGCCACGGTTGTCATAAATCACAGACTTGTGCAGTCATCAAAGAGCATTTCTCATTTTGGCTTCCCTTTTCTTTCTTAGGCGGGGGCTGCCCAGCAGACCCGGGCCTGAGGAAGGGCAACGGGAAGGAGCTGACCGAGGAGCACCTGATAGCGCAGCGGGGCAGCCTTCCCCGGGGGTGGGCGGTGGGGAGTGTGCAGACCTTTGCTGTGTCAGGCACCCCAGCCTCTGTCCCAGGCGCTGTGCGCCCCATCCCTGGGCTGGGACCGAGGCGCCCTCTGGTGGGCAGTCCGTGAAGGGACGTTCGGCGGGGCCGCAATCTGCCGGGCTGCACACCAGGCCAGCAGAGCCCGGGTGAGCCCGCGGAGCCACCTGCAAACCCCCACCTTGACAGACCACGAGGGCTTGATTCTGGGCTTCAGTATATTTCTTTAAGATTCTATTTATTTATTTGTCAGAGAGAGTGCGAGCGCACGTGCGCACAGGCAGGGGAACAGCCGGCAGAGGGAGAAGCAGGCTCCCCGCTGAGCACGGAGCCTGGTGCAGGCAGTCGCTTAACTGACTGAGCCACCCAGGCATCCCTGAGCTTCAGTATTTTGAAGTTAATTTTTTTTTTAAGTTAAACTTATGTGATAATGGGGCGCCTGGGTGGCTCAGTCAGTGAAGCGTCTGCCTTCGGCTCAGGTCATGGTCCCAGGGTCCTGGGATCGAACCCTGCATCGGGCTCCCTGCTTAGCGGGGAGCCTGCTTCTCCCTCTCCCTCTGCCCCTCCCCCTGCTCGTGCTCTCTCTCTCTTTCTCAAATAAGTAAATAAAATCTTTAAAAAAATAAAAAATAAAATAATAAACGTGTGATAACTCAGTTTACAGTAAGTTTTTAGTGCAGTTAATGAAATATTGTGTAGGAAGGATTGAAGAGCAGGCCACTCTAGATCTCGGGGTGGTGAGTTCAAGTCCTACACGGGGCATAGAGGTTACTTTAAAAAATTAACAAAAAAGTGTAAGAGAAAAACTAGATTAAAATCCGTTAATATAGTTGTTTGTGTTTTGAAATTCAGTAAATACATTTCAAACAGTGACTTTGATGATAAATGTAGCCCTCTTTGCGGGGGGCACGACTTAGCGTCTCTCTGTCGTGGGGCCAGTGGGTTCTTCCTGCCACTGGGCTGGCTTCTGTGCAGGCATCTGCCACCGGGACCGTTCTACAAAGCACTTGCCTTCTGCAAGGAGACTTCTCAACTCTGGGAAGCTAACTTTTTTTTTTTTTAAAGATTTTATTTATTTATTTAGCAGAGGGAGACAGAGCGAGAGAGGGAACACAAGCAAGGGGAGTGGGAGAGGGAGAAGCAGGCTTCCTGCTAAGCAGGGAGCCCGATGCGGGGCTCAGTCCCAGGACCCTGGGATCATGACCTGAGCCGAAGGCAGACACTCAACGACTGAGCCACCCAGGCGCCACATCCCGGAAGCCAGCTTACTGTTCGGCACCTCTGAGGGGGGCAGTGAGGACTGTTTTCCTGAAATTAGAGATACTAATTGTAGCTAACATGGCGCTTGTCAGTGAGCTGGGCACTGTTCTAAGTACTTTACATATGTGACCTCACAGTAATTTTGTGAGCGCGGACACACTTACTATCCCCACTTGACAGAGCAGAACCTGAGGCTGGGAAAGGTAAAGAAGTTGTCACAGATCACTCATCTGATGAGCGGTAGAGGTAGGATTTGAACCCAGACAGACAGGCCAAGATTCCACAGACCCAGTGCACGTAGCCAGCACGCAGCTGGGTAGCCCCCTGCGTACCCTTGGAAGGCCAAGGCCAGGGCACCGTTCCAACAGAGAGCCAAAGGGGACTTGCAGAGAGGCCACCGGGGCTGCTCATGAGCGAGGGCTCCCCCGCCCCAGCAGTGCATGCCTGCTGGCCTGGAGTCCAGGGTAGCTGTGGGTGGGGCTGGTCTGCAGCCGCATCGAACAGTTCTGGGCACCCTGGAAATCCCAGTGATCCTAGTGACATTGCAGGGGGCAGGACGGCCTGGCATGTTTTCTAAAATGCATCACTTTTCCTGCTTTTCCCTTAGAGTATTTTTTTAGGAGATTGACAAGGGCATTTAAACCATTCCCAAGCCTGCCCTGGCTCTCGAGAAGGGAATTCCTGGCGGTTGGGGGGGGTGGTTGGAGGAAGGTGGACAAAGGCACGCACATCAGCTAGAGGATGAGGAAGCCCTGGGCATGCAGTGTCCACCACGATGACCGCAGCTCACGCCACTCTGGGAAGAGCATCTGTTGCAAGAATTCCCATCACAAGGAAAGCTTTTCTTCCCTGTTTTTTGTGTCTCTGTGAGCTGGTGGTGGGTGTGGACTACACTTTCTGTGCTCATCACTTCACTGTATATGTGAGTCAAAGCATCATGCTGTGTGCCTTATATAAGGAGGCAATTATATCGCAGTAAGACTGCAAACAAACAAAGCGAAGATCCCATCCTCCTGTCTCGCTGACACCAGCCTCCAGTTCGGCTGCCTTCCCTCCGTGCCCATGCAGCAGGCATTCACCATTTGGGGATCTGTGTGGACGGGCTTCACTTTCACTGAGTCCTCAGAGCCCATCGGGGCTGTGGGAAGAGCTCCGCACAGCACTGGCATGCAGACGGCTGGCCCCCGGCCCCTGCCCCAGGCCCTCGCCGCTGCCGGCCGCCTGAGTGCAGGACAGGGGCCCACTCAGACCCTCTGCCGTCGAGTGGGCCGGGTGGAGGAACAGGATCTCCGGTGTCCAAGCCAAGTCCGTCTCAAGCCACAATTACCCAGTTTCAGTTCCAGCCCCACTTGGGCAGGCGTCCTGCGTCCCCACATTCCTCGTGTAGCCACAGACTGTGTGGCGAGGGGGGCTGGCGGCACACAAGATGCCTGGGGCGCCACCGAGGCTGAAGAGTGCCCGCCATCCGTCCCTTGCCCTGGCCACGGGTGCCAAGGTTTAGCCCCCATGGGGTGTCAGCGTCCATTGTGGACCGTCACAACAGGGAGAGACCATCCCCTCCTGTGGAGCCACCAGCAGAGGCTTGCAACCACCCTCCAAAAATAAAGCCCTGGCTTACTGTGTTTGCCAATTGCCAAGGTGTAAATGCTCAATCTGGAGTGCCGGAGAGATGGTGGTGGTGGACCTTACAGAGTGTTTCCACACAGAGGGTGTCAGCCGTCTCCAGAGCGCCGAGGATGTGCTGCATTAGGAAGTCGTGTGTTTTGAGTAGTTAGTACCATTCCTTTTAACATTTACTGCCAGATTATATAATTTAGTGTTCAGTGCAACCGTGTTGAACAGCAGGCTCACAGATTTCCTGAAAACATAGCAGGTGTCCCTTGCAAGCCCCTGTGCGCTTTCGAGTGTCACCTGCTCCACAGACATTGTGTAGGGCAGGACCTGTGCGGGGAGGCCGAGAGCCATGAGAAGGGGGGACCAGCAGTGATTCCCCGGGTGGGGTGGGGGGTAGGCGCCGGCTTCCAGGGACCCAATCCCCTGTGTGTCCCGTGGCCCCCCAGCCTGACCACACAGCTGAGGAGCATCCGGACCCACAGCTGAGCACAGATGTGGGCTGTTACGTGCTTGGGGACTCCCTGGCTCAGACACTTCCTGCAGGTCACTGAACACCCCCCACCCCAGCTTAAAGACGATCCCAAGACCCTTTTCCTTCAAAGCGCCCTTCACAAGTGGCCGTCCCCATGGTCACGTGTGTTTCTGTGTCTGCTGGCATCTCTCTGCCTGAAGCTCCGGGAGGGCCGTGCAGCCTCCCTCCCCCCAGAACACCCAGTACCTGGTTGGCGGCCAGCACAGCAGGCAGCGCCGAACCCTGGCAGAAGGTGAAGGGCCCGAGGGAGAAGGTAGAGACACAAGAACGCAGGGAGTGGGGAGACGAAAGGCAAGAGACTTTTAAGAGAGCAAGCCACTGGGAGCGTCCTGGGTACCCTCTGAGCTTCCCAGCTACGAGGGTGGATCAGGGACCCAGCTCTCAACTGCCAGTGTCAGAGGCCTGATTCTAAAAGACATGAACAGGGGCGCCTGGGTGGCTCAGTCGGTCAAGCGTCTGCCTTCGGCTCAGGTCATGGTCCCAGGGTCCTGGGATCGAGCCCCACGTGGGGCTCCCTGCTCCGCGGGGAGCCTGCTTCTCCCTCTGCCTGACACTCCCCCTGCTTGTGCTCTCTCTTTCACGTCTCTCCCTCTCAAATAAATAAATAAAATCTATTAAAAAAATTTTTTTTTAAATGGCGTGAACAATAAGAGGAATCCATTACCCCACTAACTAGCAGCCCCAAGGTGGGGTGGCTCTAGTTTGGTGTCTTCAGCAGCTTGATGATGTCCTCAGACACCCCAGTTCTCTTCCGTTCAGCCTCCTGAGGGAATGAACTCTGCCCTCGGGCCAGGGCCCCCACGATGGCTGGGAGCTGCAGACATTGCCTCCAGCACGTGTAGTCACATCCTGCAAAAGGGCCATGCTTCCCGGTGGCTCCTCTGAGGAGGAAGGGTACCTCTGCCTGAGGCCACATGTCATGTCCTAGTCCAGCCCGGCAAGGGGACTGGAACGACCAGAGTTTCTCAAGGACCGCGGCCCACACCAGCAGCAGCGTCCCCTGGGAGCTGGTTGGACACTGTGGGGGCGGCCGGCGCCGCGTCCTAGCAAGCCCTCCCGGTGATTTGGCGCACTGTGGTGTACAGGTATGACCCACCGTCTAAGGGGAGACCCCTGAGCTCAGCTGGGCTCTGCTGAGAGGCAGTGAGGACCCTGGGGACAGGTGAGGCTGAGCGGAGCCGCAGGTGAGACATCTTGCACCCACAGCCATTACCCAGGGCCGTGGAGTTGACTGGACCCTGAGCCCCACGGCCGGGGGGGGCAGGCTAGCTGTGCACGTGACCCTCCACCTTACCGTCTCTCCTTCCTGCCAGCTACCAGAGATTCACTGACTGTTATAAGCACCTCTACCAGCTGCAGCCTGAGATGACACAGCGAATCTACGACAAGCTCGTCACCCAGTTGCAGACATCTGTCCGGGTGAGTGGCAAGGAACACAGCAGGGGGCGCTGACTCGGGCCGTCTGGGTCCTCAGTGCTCAGAGCTGCCCGCCGTGGCCGCCGTCCACTCCCCGGTGTGTCCCTGCTCTCGTGGTCCGGTGCCGTGTCCCCGTGCTGTCTGCCCCAGGGGCTCCTGGCCTCCCCGCATCCCCAGCACCTGGTGCAGGGCCAGGTGCAGAGGAGACACTTAACTGTGCAATTCCGTGGAGCTGCGTGCTACAGGGAGTACCAAAGATGACAGGACTGTGTTCGTGGCTTTAAGGAATGGTGATCTCTTCGGGGGGCTCCATTCCCGTGCCTTCGTGCTCCGGGGCCGGGGGCGTGGGGCGGGGGAGGACGGGCAGGAAGCACCAGGGTGTGTCTGTGGCACCAGCAGCTGGGCCTGGGGCTGCAGCATCCCAAGGTGTCGGGCAGGCTCTTCTCAAATGTTTTCCATTTGATACTTCCTGTTTTTAGTTATTAAAGTCACATGGAGAGACGTTGGAATGTTGGTACAAAGACACCGAAATTAGCCCAGATCATACTGAGTCCTGCCCACGGTTTGGCGTATTTTCACTGTGGCCTTGTCTGGTGTCATTAGAGCTCTTTCCTGCTTGCTCTTCAGGAGGAAATCTCTGAGATCAAAGCGGAGGGGAACCTGGAAGCGGTCTTGAACTCCTTGGACAAGATCGTGCAAGAAAGCAAAGACCGCACGGAGCCGGCCTGGTGAGAAGGGCCTCGCGCGCGGGTCGCGCGGGCCTCGGGGCGTGCCAAGCCCGTCCTCCCCTCCGGGGAAGGAGAAGAGCCGCATAGCCGGCGCCTGCTGTCCGGGGCTTGGGGCCGACTGGGGGAGGCCGTCCTTGCGGGGGGCTCATTTCAGGACCCATCTGCCCGTCGGCAGGAGGTGGAAGGGCGGATTTGCAGTCTCTGTCAGGCTGGCCCGGCGTCTGGTTTTTATTCACTTGTCCATTTAACAATATTTAGGGGACACCTACTGTACGCCCCAAACGGTTTTACATGCCTGGGATTCAGTGGTGAACAAGACAACCAGAGCTGCTGCCCTGGGGGCTGACATCCCTGCGGGCAGCCTTGCGGCCTGGGGCGTCCCACGCCGAGCTCCTGCCTCCCCCCACTCCCCCTGCCTGAACTGTCTTAGGCCAGAGCCAGGAAACACCTTCCTTGTGCTTTCCAATTTTTTTATGCTCTGTGATCTTAACACATAAGAGAAATGAGTTTTAGAGCTGAAAACAAATTTTTTTAAAGAACCTCTGGTGGCTTCCACCCCACTGCCCATTGGAACCAACCCATCCCCTCGCTCTGGGCTTTCAGGACCCCCGTCCTCCTGACTCCAGACCCGCCTGCCTCATCTTTCCACGTTAGTCAGCACTTGCTGGGGCCCCTCCGGGTCCCCCAGTCTCCGGCTCACTGAGGAGCGGGTGCGCAGGGTCCCACGGACAGAGGCAGTAGCTGGAAGGTCGCCTCCAGTCCTGGAGCGCTAGACATGGGGGCGGTGCATGCAGCTGGGCCGGCTTGGGCGCAGACGTGGGCGGGGAGAGCGGGGAGAGGGGGTCCCTGGGCGCCAAGCTGAGCGCCAGCCGGTGAGTGTACCAGTGGAAGCCTGCCCCGCTGGAGGCCGTAGGTGGGAGGCCACGGCGGCCTCACCCACACACATCCTCCCCACCCCGTCCACTGGCGCCGGTGGGATCGCAGGCGCCCCAGTGGGATCCCGGAGGAAGACATGCGCAGCGCCCTGGTGCCCTACTTCCTGCAGCAGCGGGATGCCCTGCAGCGCCGTGTGCACAGACAGGAGGCCGAGAACAGGCAGCTGGCCGAGGCCGTCCTGGCCGGGCGGGGGCTGGTGCAGGAGCTGCGGCGGCAGGGCAGGGCGCGGCAGCAGGCCTGGCAGGTGAGTGTCCCAGGCATGGTCCCCGGCCCAAGGGACCGGCTCCTCCTGTTAGGGTTAGCGCTCCGTGGCCGTGGGGTTCTCCACGTGACCGATCCCCAGGAGCTTTAAAACGTGCACATTAGGGGGTGCCCCGGGGGGGTGCAGCCGGTTGAGTGTCCAATTCAGTTTGGGCTCAGGTGGTGATCTCAGTGTCATGAGATCGAGCCCCACGTCGGCCCTGCACTCAGCGAGGAGTCTGCTTGAAACTCCCCCTCTCCCTCTCTCCCTTCCTCTCTCTCAAAGAGTGGCTCCAGTCCAGGGTTGTGGGCAGGGCTCGAGGGGCTGCACCACTGTTGGGCTCGCTCCGTCATCCGGATGGCCAACTTGTGTTTACTTATGACCACTTGGTGGGTCCCTTCCTGGGGCGGGCCTTCCTGTTCCTCACAGCAGTGGGTCCCCAAATCCCTGGCTCCCGGGTCCCCGAGCCTTGGAGAGCCGGCAGCAGGAGCAGGCCCAGTGGCTCTTCTTGTCCTCACCCCCTCCCTGGCTCCAGGGCACTGGGCAGCAGGCAGCCACTCCTTCCACGCCGTCCCGGGGGAAAGAGGCCTGGAGTCGAGCCGAGTGGGAGGAAGTGTTTGGGTTTTCTCGTGCCGTGTTCTTCCCCTCCTCTTGCTTCCAGGCCCTGCGCAGAGAACAGATGGAGCTGCTGGGTGTGCTGGGGGAGCCCGAGTGAGGAGGCGGCGGCCAGACCACAGCGGTCGGGGTCGAGGGCCTGGGCAAGCTGCCTCTGAGGACCACTGAAATCATGCCCAGTCCCTGAGCGGGGTTGGAATGAGCTGGAGGATGAGGCCTGACTGTCCCTCCTGCTTTGGGGCTCCCTTGGGGTCACACACGCAGCCCCTCACCCCTTTCAGACCCTTCCCTATTTTCTTCTAACTTGAGAACTGTCAGCCAGCTCCCGTGCTGGGAATCAGGCCCCGGGCTCTCTGTCCTCCAGGTCAGGGCCAGCCGGCTGCCCCGCCCGTTCCTGAGCGCCCCCGGACCTGGCTCAGGGAGTCTGTGTTCGGTCTGCCCTGATTGCCCCCTTGCCAGTCAGCCCGAGGGACCGTGCCATGTTCTCCCCACATCCATAAATAAACTTCCTCCACTTCCTCCATTGTAATCTGTGAGGATGCTTCTTCTGCCGGGCCTCTCCAGCCTCTCCTGGGCCAAGGGTCCCCGCAAGGCCCCAGCGCTGCTCTGGGAGCCTCCAGGCTGGGGTGGGCTGGCGGGGGCACACCTGACCATCACGTGCAGGGGAACAGCGAGCCCCTCGGCATGGAGACCAGGACCCCTGGGTTCCACCCTTCTCTTTGCCACTTGGATTCATTGTGAGAAAGCCCCGGGCGGGCCTCCCTCAGTCTTGCGCATGGTGAGCCTGCACACGCACACACGCACGCAGATGGGCGCTTCCTCTGACCGGCCGGTGAAGTGGGTGGGTACACGTGGGGCGCAAAACTGTTTTCCCTGGAGAGGGCCTCACCCTGGGGAGGCTTGGTTGGGTCTGTCTGGGGGCACTGGGGACACTCAGGCAGATGTCAGGGGGCCCTTGCTGGCCACCTTCCTGCCTGGACCAGAGCCCAGTGGGGCTGCAGCATTCACACGTGAGACCCCCCCCTCATGCCCGGCTGCAGGCCATGGGGTGGGCAGTGAGGCCGGGCTCGAGGACACCCTCCCTCCAGGCGGGGCTGAGTGGACGTGGCCCTCAGCTGTGCTGGGATGGGGTTTTTCGGGCTGGACGTCTGTGTCTTGATAGGCCCCCACAGTTGTTAACCTTGAGGAGGCCGCCAGGGCAGGAGGAGGGTCAGAGGGTCAGAGGCGCGCTCCGTCTCCCGGCTCCTCACAGGCCCTGCCTCTCCCCCCTGCGAGGGACTCCGGGAGAGGGTCCCCACTGCCCTGAACAGAAGAGCTGTCTTTATCTGACAGCCCACCTCGGACGGTTTCGGGTCCCTGGCCTGCCGTTACTGGGCGTTGCTGGCCACAGGGGCAGGGCACCTCTGCCTCCGGGTGAACCAGGGCATCGCTGCCTCGGGGCCCTTCCTGCCTGCGGTTTGGCTCCTGCCCTCAGGGCCAACAGTGCAAATCACAGCCTTCCAGAGGCAGCCCAGCTCTACTGGAGTCTATTTTAGACCTGGAGCCCCCTTTCTCCCCAGGCTCCCCTCCCGCCTCTCCCGGCCTGCCCTGCTGGTGCTCAAACTGAGGCTGGAGCTGGGGACGGGGTACACCCCTTGGGGAGGGGCTGGGCCTGCCCAGGCAGCTCTAGTTCCAACCACAACATCCTTTGGGGTTTGGCCTTCAGAGCTGGGGCGGATGACTTCCAAATAGCCCTGGCAGATACCCCCGTGACCCACCCACAGTATGGTGGGCGCCGCCGCCGCCGCCCCGCCGCCCCCCCGCCCCCCGCGCCTCCAGGACACAACCCAGAGTATAAAGGGTGCGGGCCGCATGGCCAGAATCAGACCAGCTGAGGCCCAGCAGCAGCCCGGCAGCTGCTCCCAGACACGGACAGACAGGACACTCCCGCCATGAGGCCCGTGACAGTCCTCGCCCTACTGGCCCTGGCCGCACTGTGCCTGGCTGGCGCGGCAGGTGAGTGCCCTGGCTCCGGCCCGGCCTCCCCTACCCCCACTTCCGGTCCAAGCACCCTCCTGCAGGCTCTGTCCTGGTGGGGGAACCCCAGGGACGCGCAGGGGTGAACCGGGCCCTCTCCTTTGCAGATGCGAAGCCCAGCAGTGTGGAGTCCCGCAGAGGTGCAGGTATGAGGCAGGGCCTGGTCGGGGGCAGGCGCGCATCACCCCACGGGGCTGCCCGCCACGTGCCTCCCAGACCCTGAGCCACCTGATCCCTGCCTTTCTGCTCCACAGCCTTCGTGTCCAAGCAGGAGGGCAGCAAGGTGGTGAGGAGGCTCCGGCGCTACCTGGACTCCGGGCTGGGGTGAGTGCTGTCCAGGGCCCAGCCTGGGGGTGGGCAGGGAGAGGGCAGCCCCCTGCCCAGGGCTCCGCGGACCACCCCCCACCAGGGCTATGGGGGGAGGGGGCAGGCGTTTGTCGTGGAGGCTGATGCCGCTGTCTTGGTGTGTCAGAGCCCCAGCCCCCTACCCGGATCCCCTGGAGCCCAAGAGGGAAGTCTGCGAGCTCAGCCCCAACTGTGACGAGCTGGCTGACCACATCGGCTTCCAGGACGCTTACCAGCGCTTCTATGGCACAGTCTAGAGAGGGCAGCACCCCCCCCAACCCCGGCTCCCCTCCCCTCTCCCTGGCCCCCCTGCCCCGCAAGTGTGGGGTCCCCATCATCCCAGCTGCTCCAGAATAAACTCCGGAAGAGGAATTGGTGGGGCTGCGAGTCTTTGTCCATCTGTGGAGTTTGGGGGGATGGTTGTGGATGGGAGTGGAGAGGAGGTGGGTACCCTCTTCAGTCTCAGAAAGTACTTCCCCAAATCTGCTGTCAACTGATTTATTTGTACCCGCCTCGTCTGGAAGCATCGAAAGGAGCTTCATAAAAGTCTAATTATTAGGGTTCCCCCTCTAGCCCAGCACCCCTCCCCCACCCCCGCCCACTGGACCACCCGGGACACCCACATAGACCCAAAGGCCTGGACACCTTGAGCACACAGCTGTGACCAGGGCAGACAGACTCTTGCCGGTGGGCCGAGAGCTGTCAGGAGATGGTGCTGCCCGGTTTGGGAGGCGAGGACAGCCGTGGGTCTCCGGGCCGGACGCACGAGCACGCGGGGTGGGCCTAGGTTAGTCGTGTTAGGGATCCCCCGGGCTTGGCAGAGACTTGCAGGCAGGAACAGGACCAGGTGTCAGGATCCCGGCACCTCCCTGCCCCCAGCTCCAGCCTGGACACATGCACTGCCCCTCTCAGACCCTCAGCACTTGCCCCGGCCCCGCTGAGCGCACCCTTGCTGACCCTCCTGCTTGCTGCCGGCACCGCCCCGCGCCCTCCTCTCCTCGGCACTCTCTCCGCAGCCACTCCTGGCTCCAGGCTCCGATGTGCCCCACCTCCGTCAGGCCCGGGTTGGGGCTCCTCCCCAGCACCGGGGCCTGGCCTCTGCCTTCCCCCAGGGTGGGCTCAGAGATGGGGCCTCACTGCTGTCTGGCCTTCATGCCCCCCTCCAGGGGGCTGCCCTGCAGCAGAGGGCAGGTGCTGGGGGCCCGGGACAGGGAGCTTGTGAAGGCAGCAATGATGAGGAGGTTCCCGGCCGCCGCCAGGCCCAGCGTGGCCACCGTGCCCGCCAGGCCCAGGGGGGGTTCCTGCGTGGCCAGCCAGGCTCGGCGAGATCCCATGTCAGCCAGCACTGCCTCCAGCTGGAAGTGGGTGCCCAGCACGGCGCAGATGTGGAAGAGCTGGTGGCTGTGGCCTGTTGGGGGCGGGGGGGGGGGCGGTGGGCGGCTCAGGGCACGGACCCCGCTCCCACAGCTGCCCTACTTCATTGTCTGGGCGGGCTGCCCCCTGAACTGGGAATAAGAGAACCTACAAGGCCCCCGGTACACACGCTACTAGTTTATCTGAGGAGGGGGGAAGCCCGGACCCCGGGCACTCTCCCTGGCTGTGACACCCCACTACTCTGTTCACTCTGTGCTCTGGGACGCTGTGTCCCCTCACCCCTTCCTGGATGGGGACCACTCTTGAGCTCTCACCAATGTAGTCAAAGCGTCCTGGGGCCAGCCGCTCGGGCAGGTGGGAGGCGAAGAGGAAGCCAGTGAGCAGCGCACAGAGGAGGTGGTAGCTGTGGTTGGCGCTCAGCGCCTCCTGCCCGCAGCTGGGGCCCCTGTCCCAGCACAGTCCAAGCTGGCAGAGGACAAGCAGAGCTGGTGGAGAGGGCCTCTGGGAGTGAGGGTCTGGGGCACAGGGAGAGCAGGAGCCCCAGCCTCCCTTACCCGGTAGAAGAGGGGGAGGTTGTCGAACAGGAAGGGATAGGCGAAGGCAGTCGTGCGGAGGACTTTACTGAACCCAGGGCTTTCTAGCTCCGGGAACCTGGGAGGCGGAAGGGAAAGCCTGGTTACCATCCTTTCTCGGGGAGGGCGGGGGGGTGGTCACCGAAGGTCAGGGGTCCTTTGGCCAAGATGGAATGTTACTGTAGCTTAGTGGCTGTGAAAGCCCTTAGGGCATGTGACCCCTCTGGAAATGGCCACATCTGTGAGGGGGGTAGACACCTGCGCCCTCTAGGCTGGCTGTGAGAATTCAAAGAGACAGCGCAGGTATGGTGCTGGCCCGCCGGAGCGACACCCGGTGAGTCCTCAATAAGCCGGGCCATTGTTGCTGATGTCGGTCCAGAGCCGGAGGCGCACATGCGCCATCGCCAGCCTCCAGTGTGTCTGGGGCGTGCCCTGTCCTGTCCCTCCACCTTCCCCTTCCGCACTGGCGGAGCACCCACCGGGAGTAGCAGGAGAGGCCGGTGCACAGGAAGGAATTGAATGCGGCAGCAGGCACAAAGAGCTGGCGCAGACGGCTGTGCAGCCAGGAGGCCGGCATGGAGTAGGCGGCATAGGGGAAGGCACAGCCTGGGGAGGAAGGGGCGGGGCTGGAGCTGAGGTTCCCAAGGGCACGCCCGCCCCACACCCTAGTGCCCGCGCCCGGCCCCGCCCCCAGCACTCCGGGGCCCGCCCCCTCCCCGCCCCTAGAGCGGTCGGGGGGCTCCCTAACGCCCGCCCCCGCCCCCGAACGCCCCGGCCCCGCCCCGGCCCCGCCCCGGCCCCGCCCCGACCCCGGGGCGCTCACCCAGGCTGTAGAGGCTGAGCGCGCCGTAGTCCAGGAAGTAGCAGATGTGGCGCGCGCGGGGCGACATGGAGCTGAAGGTGTGCGCGCAGCACGACGCGAAGGGGTAGAGGCAGGCGGGCAGCAGGAAGACGAGCAGCGGCCGGTGGTACGGCTCCGCCCGGAAGCCCGGGCCCCCCGCCAGCGCCAGTAGGCGCCACACGAAGTACCTGCGGCGGGCAGGAGCTCAGGCCCGCCGCCCACCCGCCACGCCCGCGGGCCCGCCGGCCCCTGCCCGCCGAGGACCCCCTCGGGGCGCCGCTCACCAGGTGGGCAGGAAGTGAGTCCAGATGTTGACCGTCTCGTTGGTCATCTGGAAGGAGCTGAGGACACAGTCCCGGGCCGAGCTGGTGGGGCGGCGGTAGCCAGACATGATGCCGTCTTCCCAGAACACCTGTGCGTGGCGGGGTGGGGGTGGGGGACGCAGAAGGGGCGTCACTGGGCCCGCTCCTACCTCCCCGTGAGAGATCTGTGCAAGCGGCGTCGAAGAGAACGGGCTGGAGGGCACCACGGCCCCAAAGCCAAACCAAATCCGACCCCCATCTTACCGCAAGTCCCAAATACCCAGAGAGCAGAGGAAAAAGCGAGGAGGCAGCGGGAAGGGGACCAGAGAGGAGGGATGGGCTGGGGCGCCGGGGAAGAAGGGGACTCTGGTGGAGGAGAATTCTGGGCTCTGGGGAGGGGTGGCCCCAGGTTCCTTAGAGAGCAGAAGGATGGCAGGGATAAGACGGGCTGCAGAAAGGAGCCCCCCTCACCCATGCCCCACTGCTCAAAGGGAAGAGCCTCTGCCCCAGTCAGTAGCCTGGGGAGTGGGAATTGGTGGGTCAAGCCCCTCACCCGAGGGACCTGGTGGACTCGAAGGAGCTGGGGCAGCTTGAGACTGAGCATGGTGGCCCGGCACCTCCACACTGTGACCTAGAGACAAAGTGCGGGGTGAGGGCATCAGGTATCTGTCCCCATCCACAGGCCCCTTCTCACCCTGGTCCAGGCCGGACCTGGTCACGGGGACCCAGGGTGGTATGTGCCCGCCGTGTACGAGTGGGTGGGAGCTGGCTTCCCCGTCCTCCTACCACGTGACCCCCTCTCCATCCCAGCCTGGACTATTCAGCACCACCCCCCGGTTTCCCCCCCCCCGCCCCCGCCCCCGTCCCCAAGGGCTGCTCAGCTTCAGCCCAGGACAGACTGAGCGCAGGGTGCTCTCCAGCCCGAAGGCGGCTTCTGTTAGTAGCCCCAGACCCTGGATCCGGGTCCCCAGCCTCCAGTTTCTGTCTCCAGGGAAGCCTGAGTCAGGGAGGTCAATGTGGAGAGCGCTCACGCACCCCCTGCCCCCCACCAGAACGCCCCTTGGCCCACAGAGCCGGGGCTGAGCACAGCCCGCGCGCGGATGATGCTGCCGAGAACTCCTGGAGAGGCCAGATGGCTGTGGGAGGGGCAACGAATTAGCGGGGTGTCTGGCTCTTCTCTAAGGACTTCTCATGTGCCCCGGGGGTCCCCGACCCTCCTGAGACCCGTACCCCTCAGCTCCAGACCTGTGCGCTGCCTCCGGGCGGCCGCGGCTCCGCTGCCCCGCCCGCCCCTCCCAGGCACATTCCTTGGCACCAGTGGAGGGGCTGGGCCAGCCGGGCGGGTGGAGCCGCCCCGGGGGAGGGAGAATAAGACCCTCCCCCTCCCGGCCAAAACCGCGCGGCAACAATACAGCCCGGCCCCGCCCGTCTTCCTGCCTCCCCCGGTGGCGGTCTGCGTGTGTGCCGCACACTGGGGACCTCACTCCGTGGGCGGGTCCCCCAAGCCTCTGCCCCTGCCAGGCCCTCTCCGCCTTCGAGCTGGGTGCTGGCAGCCCTGCAGGGCAGAGGCAGACCCGGTCTCCAGTCCCTGGGCCCCAGCTGAGCTTTTAGACGAGGCCTCCCGGGTATCCCCGCCCCTCCCAGGAATGGGATGGGGGTGGTCTGCCCCATCCTGCGTGCTGCCCGCCTCCCTGGGGCACGGGTGGGCGTGAAGACGCTGGGGCCTAGCTCCCTTCAGGGTCCCTTCCCTTAGCGGCAGGGCTTAGGGTCTCTGCAGGACTGTGTGCTGTGGCCATGGGAACAGAGGAGGGGGCTGGAGCAGGCGCTTTACTTCTGGACCCCAGAGCAGGCGTCATGCCCCAGGGGAGCTGCCTTACCCAAAGCTTGGCGGGCGCTCCTAAGCCGGTGGGTCGGCAGGCCCAGGGCTCCTCGGGCAGAGTCCCAGGCTCCAGCCAGCCAGGCTGACGGGAGGGAGAGAGTGGTGGGTGGGCAGGCAGGCCTGGCCCCAGGCAGGGAGTGAGACAAAGGGGAGCCGGGAAACAATCCCAGCCTTGTCCAGCCCCCAGGGAGCAGCGTGGGGTGGCCCAGCCCCATTAGCAGGCAGCTCACGCGGCCTCCTGCACACAGCCAGCCCCTCCAGCTTGACCCAAGCCCACGGACGTCAGACTGGCCACAACAGGCAGGGCGCCGCAGAGCCCTCCTCAGACCAGGCTGCCGGAGGGGTCAGGTCCTGCCAGGAGCGGGGGGGCTCTGCCTTAGGCTGGGCACAGGAATCCAAATCCCGACTTGCGACCTCAGAAAGCTCCTCTCCCTGGGCTTTGGTGCCTCTTAGCGCCTGGTGCTGGGCAGAGTCCAGAGCGAAGGCCTGCAGAAGGTGCTGGTTGAGCCACCAGGTAACCTGTGTGCCCGCTCACCCCGGCACACTGGACGGGCCGGTCCTCGCAGGGGGACGGGGGCTGAGGCTCCAGAGGCTGGTCTCCAGGCTCCCGCCCACGGCCCCCTGGAGGAAGAGCTTCAGTCTTCACCAGAACTGGCACCCAACACCCCTGCGACAGCACCAGCTGCTCACAGGGCCAGCGAACGCGACCGTGTCTTCCACAAAACCATCCCCAGAGCTTCCGCCCGAGTTGCTGGCTTCTTGCTTCGAGGGGTTCACCTCAAAGAAACCTTTCCGAAACGCCATTTCAGCAAGAGAGCACCCGCATCCCAGTACAATGGACAGAACAGCACCAGGAGACGGGGCAGGCTTCGAGGGGTCTTTATTAAGTGAGGCTTTAGTCTGTCTCTGCCAGGGGCTGGGAGGCCGGGTGACCGCACCCCTCCCCCCCAGGTCGTCCCAGGCTTGCTGTCTTAGAGGAAGGAGGTAAGAAGCCTGCTTGCCTCTGAGAACAGCCTGGGAAGCTAGGCTAGCGCTGGGGTGGGGGCGGCAGAGCCGAGACCCCCCCCCCAGCTCCTGGCCAGCCCCAGGGCAAGGGGCAGAGACGCTCCTGGCCAGAGCCTCCCCCACAGCCTGCCCTTGCTGCTCCACCCCCTGCCCCGAGCGATTCATGATCTCGGCTCCCACATGCACCTCGCCCCTGGCCACGAGCAAGCGAGTCCCATGCTCAGCCCCAGCAGGACAGCAGGCCCCTGACCGGGCAGCTCTACGGGCCCCTCCTTCCTGCAGCCCACCTCCACGCGGGCCTCTCCCAGACCGTCGGGGGGGGGCTGGTGGCCTGGCACCGCACCCCTCTTCCTGGCATCGCACTCCGCCCCATGCACAGGTGCAGCCTGCCGTCAGAGGGGCCTGCTCCGTGCCCCGGAAGCTGGGCAGGCACAGAGCGAGGGCAGAAGCGGGGCGGCTGGGTGCGTGGCCCCCACAGCAGCAGGAGGGGGCGAGCCCTGGCCCTGCTCTTGGTGCCGGCAGCTCCAGGCCCCTCTTCTGGAAGTATCCCCGCTCCTCTCCCTGGGCTTTGGTGCCTCTTAGCGCCTGGTGCTGGGCAGAGTCCAGAGCGAAGGCCTGCAGAAGGTGCTGGGGTGAGGGCATCAGGTATCTGTCCCCATCCACAGGCCCCTTCTCACCCTGGTCCAGGCCGGACCTGGTCACGGGGACCCAGGGTGGTATGTGC